GAGCTCCAGTTTTGGCTTTTGTTTTGTCACAGACTTTCTCCTGTCTAGGCTGGTTACATATTGAGCCACACAAGTGTGGGTCCAATATCTGATTTTTTTTTTGGTGGGGGGGCAGTCCTGGCACTTAAACCTAGGGCCTGGGCACTGTCCTTGAGCTAATTTTGCTCAACCCTTGCCCTCTACACTTGGGCCACAGTACCACTTCTGGCTCTTTTTGTTTATGTGGTACTGAGGAATTGAACCCAGGACTTCATGCGCGCTAGGCAAGTACTCTACCACTTGAGCCACATTCACAGCCCATTCAAGATATGCATTTCTGAATGATATATATGCTCCTCAGTGCTTTGTCCTACATTAGTTTTTTTCTGTTTCTGTTGCAGAAATCTGATCAGAATCATAATCACAGTTGAACTGCTTACATGCTTGTTCATTTGCATTGATTCTTCACATTTTCTGCTTCCTAGGAAACATGTCATAGCCAAACATGAGTTGACCTCAAGATCATGTCTGGGGACCATCCCTCCCCAGCAGTTGCTTGCAGAGCTGAAGGAAGGAGGCAGCCACCGCCTTGTGCAGGGTCACAGCCTCATTTGAGCTCCTAGAGGACGTACTGAGTCTCCACCAGCTCCTTCCTAACCATGGCCTGCCCAGCCTCCTTGGCTGAGCTCCAAGCACAGGCCACCTGCCCCATCTGCCTGGCTTACCTGAGTGACCCGGTGACCACTGAATGCGGACACAACTTCTGTCACTCCTGCATCCTCCAGTGTTGGGAAGGTCTCCAAGACACCTTCCCCTGTCCCACCTGCCTCCACTATTGTCCCAACGATGTCCTCCATAGCAACACGCAGCTAAGCCACCTGGTTGACATTGTCATGCAGCTGGCAGGTTCTCAGAGCAAGAGGAAGCTGTGTGAGCAGCACGGTGAGGTCCTGGGCTTGTTCTGTGATGATGACCTGCAGCTGTTGTGCGCCCAGTGCAGCGCCTCTTCTGATCACCACCAGCACCACCTCATGCCCATCAGTGAGGCCGCAGCAGCTCAGAAGGAGAAGCTGAGCGACTACAAGAAGCACCTGAAACGGCAGGCGAGAGACGCCAAGACAGAGTACCAATGGCAAATTTCCAAGTCCATTCAGCTGATTCCTAAGATACAAAAGTGGAAGGAGGAATTGCAATCGGAGTTTAGACATTTTCAACACTTTATGAGCAGCCAGTGCTCGGTGAACATCAGCCGTCTATATTATGACGAGAAAAGGATCGAAACCCAGCTGCTGGCCAACACAAGTGAGATCTTCGAGCACCTCACTATGCTGAAGAGTCTACTGAGTGAAATGAAAGAGAAGACTCTACAAGCAGATGTAGATTTGCTGAGAGGGGTTAGGAGCCTTCAGGAGAGGTACACAGACATCCACCCCCCCAGAGTGTTTTCCTATGAGTTAATGGAGAATAACCCTTTCCCTCCACATTATTTTGGCCTGGAGAAGATGATGAGCACATTTCGGGTGGATTTGACATTCAACCCTCACCCTGTTCTGAAAGTCTCCCAAGATAGAAAGACTGTGACATTAGTGGGACAATCAGATCCTGCTTTTGAGGCAATGGTCCACACCCAGGAGAGACTTCAAAATGGAAGGTTTTTTTGGCAAGTAGAGGTGAAAGGCTCAGGGCAGTGGTCCATGGGGGTGTATGAGGAATCTGCCTCCAAAGATTTGATGGTACCCTGCTTTAAGCGGGAAAGCCATAATATTACCCAGCATACACAATCCAGCTTGGTGGATAGGGTTGGTGCCTTTCTAGATTATGAGCTTGGAGAGCTTTCCTTTTATGATTTGAAATGTCGATCCTGCCTTCATGTTTTCACTGCTAAGTTTACAGGTGTACTTGTGCCATTTTTCTCTTTGAGATGTATTTCTCCATCCTTTCTTTCTATCAGTTTTGACTAGAGGAATGATGGACTGGACTGGTAGCCGTTTGTGTGTGTGAGTGTGAGTGTGTGTGTGTGTGTGTGTGTGTGTGGTGTTCTATGTAGAGCACTTGGAATGTTTGGTACCCCTTGTCTGCTCCTGTACTGCCCCACAGTTGGGTGAGATGATGACAAAGGAGGGGTGCTGATTCTACAAGCATTGGTAGTGCTTGGAGAAGGTAGGTCCAAACCATGGGGCCCCTGTTGGTGCTGAGTTTAACCACCCTGTAATCTCCAGAATAGCCCCTCTGGGGGCTTCTTGCCCCTTGTGGAGTGGTATCACATTGGGCCTATTGTGGGAGGGGGGGAGGGACGGACGGAGGGAGGGAAGGAAGGTGGGAGGGGTGCTCCCTATAGGCAAGGCTTTTCCAGCTGCTGTCATGGGAGCTCTTTTGTCCCCTTTTGTGGCTGCTGTGACCTGTGCCTCAAAGATAGCAAAGACTGCGGTTCCGCTGGCCACAGACACAAGCACACATGCTCCCAGCGCAGTGAAGGGGCTTCTTGAACTGTAGCCGTGCACAGAACACAGGCTGCTCTTTCTGGCAGCACTGACCTGAGCTCCTCAAGAGCTAATTGGCTTGCTGTATATTCTGCACATTGTATGCTGTATCTTATGTAATGTTGTATATTATGTACATTGAACTATGTCACTGGAGGGTAGGGGTGAGGGGGAAAATGATGGGTGACATTGAGCAAGGTGCTTTGTAATCACAACCTGACAAATGGAATTGGAACATCTTTGTTTAGCTACTTAATTTTTTTTAAAGAGTTCATTGGTTTATGTAAACAAGGAGAGAAGAAAGACATGAAGGTCCATCAAAGGCTCCCTAGAAAAAGAAGACCAAGCCAGGAAAGCAGGGCACCAGTCTGGGCTCTGCCTGAGGTCCTAGCTACTTGGGATGACACCATCCAAGGGTGATGATTTGAAGCCAGTATGGGCAGACCAATCTACAAGACTTATCTCCAATTTACCATCAAAAATCCTTTTATCCGGACCTTGGAAGGTGGCTCAGTGGTAGAGCGCTTGCCTTGCATGCCTGAGGCCCTGGGTTCGATTCCTCAGCACCACATAAGCAAAAAGAAAAAAGCCAGAAGTGGCTTTGTGGCTTAAGTGGTAGAGTGCTAGCCTTGAGCTGAAGAGCTGAGAGACAGCGACCAGGCCCTGAGTTCAGGTCCCACTACTGGAACCAAAAGAAAACTTTACAACTTGGGGAAAATTGGAGAGGGAAGGGATGGTAGGGGAAAAACAAAAGAGGATGTAACGATGCTTGATAGGAAATGTACTCATTACCCTATTAACTGTAACCCCTCTGTATTTTTATAATAAAAATGTATTAAAAATGAAAAATGCCCAGGTGTATTTAAGCAATGCATATAAGCTAATAAAAATATATGTAATAAACTTTGGCACTGTGGCTCACATAGTAGAACACTAACTTTGAGCCAAAGAACCTCAGGGACAGTGCCTTGTCCTAAGTTCAAGCCTCAAGACTGCCCCCCCCCCAAAAAAAAAATTGGGAATGAAATCTGTTGAAATTGTTTTTAAGGAGACAGAGGAATAAAATACAGTGAGCTCAGGGGCAGTACACAGGCTCCAAGTTCAACCCACATGACCCCACCAAGCCCCGTAGCAAACAGTGGCTGGGGATGTAGGCTTGCCAAGCTAGGACTTGCAATGCCCTGGGTGTGACCCACAGCAGGTGGGGTAGGCAGAAGAGAAAAAATTGGAACCTGGAAGGGTGAGTCACATTTTTCTGATTTAATTTCTTCTATTAGCATACACTTTTACCATAAGTATACATACTTACACAATGTATTCCATATACATATTCCATCCATCATTGATCTCCCTCTCACTCATCTCCTTGTCCAAAACAGTTACAACAGATTTTGTTCTGTCTTCATATATGCAGACTCTTTACTGGACCATACTCATGCAGCAATTCTTGCATGTTAGCCCAACTCTTCCGTTAACAGCCATCTTCCCAAATAATTTAGCTCTACCCGTCCAGACAACAATATGGTTAAAAGTAATGAATTAAGCCTGGTGTCCGTGGTTCATACTTGTAGTCTCAGGAGATGGAGATTTGAGGATTATGGTTGAAGCGAGCCCTAGCAGGAAAGTCCTGCTAGACATTTATCTACAATTAATGTACCTCCTGCCCCCCCCAAAAGGGGACAATGAAAGCTGGAAGTGGAGCTGTGGCTCAAGTGGTAGAATGCTAACCTTGAACACAAAAGATGAGGGACAACGCCTAGGCCCTTGAGTTCAAGCCACAAGACTGGCACACAAACACTTAGGAATTGGGTATTGGGTACTGATTGCTCATGCCAGCAATCCTAGCTACTCAGGGGGGCTGAGATCTGACAATCATGGCACAAAGTCCAATGTCCAGCAGCTCATACCTATAATCTTTGTTACTCAAGAGACCAAGATTGGGAATTCACTGCCAACTTTGGGGAGAAAACTCCATGAGACCCCATAAAAAAATAACTAAGGCTGTTGTAGAAGCATCACTCAAGGAGGACTGCAAGGCTGAGATCTGAGGATGGACGTTCAAAGCTAGCCTGGGCAGGAGACTGTGAGCTTAGGGGCAGCACCCAGGCCCAGAGCTCAAGCCCCATGACTGAAGGAAGAAAAAAAGCAACATAACTACAGATTGATGGAGGAATATTTATTTATTTTTTGGATTAAACCCAGTGCTGATCAGTCTCGCTATGCAGTAGCCAACCTCTGAAGTAATTCCCCCAAGCCTTTGTTTTCTGTGACACTGAGATTTGAATTCTGGGCCCTAGGCTCACTAGGTAATTGAGTCATACCTCCCCCACTTTTTCTTTTGGTTAGTATGGGGCTTGAACTCTGGGCCTGGGCGCTGTCTTTCAGCTCTTCAGCTCAAGGTGATCGCTCTGCCACTTGAGCCACAGCACTACTTTGATTTTCTGGTGGTTTATTGGAGATAAGAGTCTCTCAAACATTCCTGCCCAGGCTGCCTTTGAACTGCGATCCTCAGATCTCAGCCTCCTGAGTAGCTAGGATTACTTGTGTGAGCCATCTGTGCCTGGCGCTCCTCCCCTACTTTTTCTTGTTTGAGATGGCTCTCACTATATAGCTCAGCTTAGCCTTAAACCCAGGATCTTGCTTCAGCCTCTGGAGTGCGAGATTAGAAGTGGAAGCCATTGTACCCATCTCAAGGTTTAATTTTTTTTCAAAAGAGAAAATACATAAACATTGAGAACAAAAAAAAAAAATCCCCAATATTTTATTGGAAGCTAGTGTTCCTTAGTTATCTATAAAATAGATTCACTTGAGGCCGTGCACTTGAGTCATTTTTTCAGCCCTTATTTTTTCCTCCCCTTTTGCTGGTTATTGGATAGGGTCTCTTGAATCCCAGCTGGGCTTACAGATGTCATGTCAATTGTTGATTACATGAACTGGCTCCGATATGTCAAATAACAGAAAAAGAGTCTTCTAATCTTCCAATAATTCACTCAGAATCTGTTACAGTACAGATTTTAAGGGGTTTACTATCAGTTCCAATGTAGAAATAAGGCAAAAGTGCTTCATTAAAATGATCATTATTGTAAGTATGGAGAAGAGATCTATCATCCAAATTGTAAAAGGAAACCTCACCCATTTCAATGTCTAAAAACACGCCAATCTTACTAGGAGTTACTTTTGGCAAGAGAGAGATTCTTTTAGGACCCAAGGCAATATAATTTGACTCAATACACCCGCTACACCGTCCTACTGCCCATATTCCATCCTGTTTTAAGAGTTGTTGTTTCTGATTCTTTTTCCTCCTGGGAAGAGACTCTTTACAAACACCCACAATCCAATCACTCTTGTCTTTCACATCTACCTCCCAGTACTGCCTTCCAGAATTATATGCCCTAGAGCCCAGAACAGCTGGGCAGAGAAAAAATCTGCTTGCTAGGGGAGGCAACTTCTGTCTGAGTCCATATCGCACAGTTTTCCTATCTTCTGAGATGCTGAGTCTGCAGTGTGCTGTTTCAGGGTCTAGAATCACATCTGCTTGAAAGCACTTGACAATTGGGTTGAGGCCTGAATATTGTGGAGGAAGCCAGTTTCCAAAGTCTTCAAAGGTGAATGAAAAGTTTCCTGGGCTCTTCAAGCATCGATAGCTGTCATAGACATGTTTAAGGTCTGTCAGCAATTCCATTTCTGACTGTCCATACTTCCTCTCCACTTCCTTCAACAGACTTCTCACTGAGGAGGCGTGCTCTGAAGTTTTGGCGAGGCTTTCCTTTAGTTTCGCTAAATTAACTATTTCTTCTTCTTGTAATTGCTTAAGAAGAGCCTCCTGTCGGTTTTCAAGAAACAACCTAAGATGTTCAAATTCAAAGTGTATATCTTTCCTCCTTCGCTCTACCTTTCTCTTCAGTTCCAGGGGTCTGCTCACCTGCAAAGCTAGCACTTTCTTCACTCGCTCCATCCTGTCTTTGTATAGCTCCATGGAATATGCTAGTTGTTTCCTATGCAAGCACGCAGCCTTCTCTATGGGCCAAACCCGGTGATGCTGGTGATTAGTGGAGCAGCACTGGCGACATAAAACCACCAGGTCCTTCTCACAGAAGAAGGCCATGGCTTCTTTGTGCTTCTTACACATGAGCTTCCCTTCTAGTGTTTTCCTCTTGCTTCTTCTAGTGGGGAATAGCTTAGCGATCTTAGTCAAGCTACCCAGCTGGAGATTGCTTGAGAATTTCCTTTTCGGACAGTCAAGCTGGCAAGAAGGGCAGGGGAAAGTGTTCTGTGTGCCCTTCCAGGACAACCTGATGCAGGGCAGGCAGAAGTTATGCCCACAGGGCATGGTCACGGGGCTTCTGAAGTATCCCAGACAGAGGGGACAGCTAGCCTCAGCTTGGAGGTCTTCCAGAGCTGTTGCAAACTCCATTGAGTCTGGAGCAGAGGCAAGGCCCAGGGCCATGCTTCTTTTCATAAGGCCTGGTCCTCCGGATCTCTACAGCCTGTGGTGCTGAGGAAACATGGACACTCTTCCCTGGATCTTCCACAAGGCTCAGCTTTCATCTTCACTGGCTTGCCACACTGGTGTCAGCCTCCAAAAACATGTTTAAGAAAAGAGAATTAGGACGTGAAATAGGTCTGGAGTCAGGCTGGGCATCAAGTGGGAGAGGGGAAGGAGGGCGAATACAGTTATGACCTGCAAAATGCAGGCCTAAGTAGGAAATTTTCCTGAGTAGGAAAATTCCAGCAAGAGAATGAGGCTCTCAGTTCAAGCCTGATACCAGCATCCCTGTGAAAGGGCATTGTAGCTGGGCGCTGGTGGCTCACACCTGCAAACACAGTTAACCCAGAAGACTGAGACCTGAGGATTGCAGTTTGAAGCTAGCCCAGGCAGGGAAGTCTGTGAGACCCTTATCTCTAATTAACCACCAAAAACCTGGCTCACGTGGTAGGGTCATAGCCTTGAGCAAAAAAGCTCAAGATCAGAGGATCCTGAGCTGGAAATGCCAGCCTGGGCAGGAAAGTCCATGAGACATTTTTTTTTTTTGGGTCCGGTCGTGGGGCCTGAACTCTGGGCCTGGGCGCTGTCCCTCAGCTCTTCAGCTCAAGGCTAGCGCTCCACCACTTGAGCCACAGCACCACTTACGGCTTTTTTCTTTTTGCTTATGTGGTGCTGAGGAATCGAACCCAGGGCCTCAGGCATGCAAGGCAAGCGCTCTACCACTAAGCCAACTTCCCAGCCCCTCCATGAGACTTTTTAATCTGTACATTAACAATGAGAAAACTGGAAGTAGCACTGTAGCTCAAGTAGTATAGTGCTTACCTTGAGCTGATGAGCTCAGGGACAGTGTCCAGGCCTAGAGTTCAAGCCCCATGACTAACAACAACAACAACAAAAAGCTCAGGATCAGTGCTCAAACACTGAGTTCAAGCTCCAGGACTAGGGCAGACACATGTGCGTGCGTGCGCGCGCGCGCGCGCGCACACGCACACACAGTACATTGTATACACAAATAGACATGCTAAAACCCCCTTAACAACTCAATGATGCTATACATTAAAAAAAATCTGTACCTTAGCTCCAAGGTCTGCTTCCAGAATAGTTCAGGGTCTAAATGAAGCTTACTGCATATCAGAACACATCATCTATGCAGCTGTTCACTTTAGGTCCCAGCAGATCATTACTTCCTATGGATGAGAAGACATATTTAAAAGTCTGACTGTATAATCACCAATATATTAAAGCATTTAGAAAAGAATCAAGCTTGGCACCACTGGTTCATGCCTGTAATCCTAGCTACTCAGGAAGTTAGCTGTCAGGAGGCAGCTAACTCCTAAGGATCCTAGTTGAAGCCAGCATAGGCAGGCAGGTCCGTGACTCTTATCTCCAAGCCCTGAGTTCAAGACCCAGAACCAGCACCAGGGAAAACACATACAAAAAAACCCCAAAAACAGGGACTGGGAAGGTGGATCAGTAGTACAGTGCTTGCCTCGCATGCATGAGGCCCTCGGTTCGATTCCTCAGCACCACATAAGCAGAAAAGGCCACAAGTGGCGCTGTGGCTCAAGTAGTAGAGCCCTTGAGCTTTTTAAAGAGCTGAGGGACAGCGCCTAGGCCCAGAGTTCAGGCCCCAGGACCAACAACAACAACAACAAAAGTGAGAGGAGAGAGAGAAGAAAAAAGGGAGAGGGAAAGGGAGTAAGAGGGAGGAAGAGAGACAAGAGGTGGAGGGAGGGAGGGAGAGGGGGGAAGAGGGGAGGGAAACGATACAGGTGCCAACCTGGGCAGAAAAACCTGAGAATTATCTTCAATTAACCTCAAAAAACTGAAAGGAGAACTGTGACTCACATAACAAAATGCCAGCCTTCAGCAAAGAAGCTAAGCCAGAGTGTAAGGTCCTGAGTTCAAATCCCAATAGCATTTATGCACACACACAAGAAAAATTTGCCCTTATTTTCAAATTACCCATCCATACCAATTTTAAGTGAATAAAGTCCGTCTATCAAGCTTGTAAGCCACTAATAACACTAACCCACAAATATAATACTTTCCCCTTTCCCACATATGACTACATACTCTGTCCACTCTGTTCTCCCTGCCCTTCTTTGTAACCCCAGAACAATTAAGAGTACTTGTATGGCCGGGCGCTTGTGGCTCATGCCTGTAATCCTAGCTACTCAGGAGGCTGAGATCTGAGGATCGCAGTTCAAAGCCAGCCCGGGCAGGAGAGACCGTGAGACTCTTATCTCCAATAAACCACCAGAAAACCGGAAGTGGCGCTGTAGCTCAGGTGGTAGAGCGCTCGCCTTGAGCTGAAGAGCTGAGGGACAGCGCCCAGGCCCAGAGTTCAAGCCCCACGACCGACAAAAAAAAAAAAAAAAAGAGTACTTGTATGGGCAAAGCTATGACATGCGAAAGTTCTAGCAAGTTCTTTCACTACAGATGTCCTCTGACAAACAGTAATTTACACAAGATTCTCAAACTCAAGACTTGGGGCAGCACCTTTGGCCTGTGTAAGCAAAAGCAATCACAGTAGGCTCTAGGTGGCAGTGTTTAACAATACAAGACTAACAGATCTGATACCTGGCTTCTCCACTACTTCCTGGAGAAACTAGGATCCTTTTCATTTCTTTGACCTATAAAATGAGAGTTACAACAGAATATGGAAATAGTAGTTATGTGGCCTTTTTTCCTCCTTGGCCACAGGAGCTTTCTATGTTAGATATACTGGAATCTGGTCACAAACAAGGTCCCTACATTGCATTTGCTCACGTCAGCTTTGTCCTTAAGACTATCACAACAATTGATCTTCCAGCTTGGCAGCCTATTGTTTCTGGATAGTTTAACTTCACTACAACTCTTCCCTTATTAGGATGATTACATCTTTCCTCATTTAAACTTGCCACCCAGGTGTTTTGGCATGCCGGATGCCAGCACTTGGGAGGCACAGGTAGGAGGGTCATGAGTTTGAAGCCTGTAGGGACAACATACTGCAATGGTCTTAAAAAACAAAGAAGCCAGCCAGGCGCTGGTGGCTCATGCCTGTAATCCTAGCTACTCAGGAGGCTGAGATCTGAGGAGCACAATTCAAAGCCAGCTGAGATCTGAGGATCATGGTTCAAAGCCAGCCCAGGCAGGAAAGTCCATGAGACTCTTATCTCTAATAAACCGCTAGAAAACTGGAAGTGGTGCTGTGGTTCAAGCGGTAGAGCGCTCACCTTGAGCTGAAGAGTGCAGGGCCAGAGCCCAAGCCCAGAGTTTAAGCCCCACGACTGACAAAAAAAAAAAAAAAGAAGAAGAAGCCAGGTGGTGGTGGCTCACGCCTGTAATCCTAGCTACTCAAGAGGCTGAGATCTGAGGAGCACAATTCAAAGCCAGCCTAGGCAGGAAAGCCCATGAGATTCTTATCTCCAATAAACCACTCAGAAAAGTAGAAGTGGCGCTGTGGCTGAAGTGGTAGAATGCTAGCCTTGAGCCGAAGAACTGAGGGACAGCGCCCAGGCCCAGAGTTCAAGCCCCATGACCAACAAAAAACACAACAAAACAAACAAAAAAACCAAAACAGAGAGCCAGGCGCTGGTGCCTCATGCCTGTAATCCTAGCTACTCAGGAGGCAGAGATCTGAGAATTGCAGTTTGAAGCTAGCCCAGGCAGGAAAAGTCCCTGAGACTCATCTCCAATAAACCACCAGAAAACCAGAAGTGACACTGTGGCTTAAGTGGTAGGGAACTATCCTTGAGCTGAAGAGCTGAGGGACAGCACCCAGGCCCAGAGTCAAGCCCCAGGACCTACCAAAACACCCAAAAAACCACCAAACATGCCGGGCACTGGTGGCTCATGCCTGTAATCTTAGCTACTCAGGAGGCTGAGATCTGAGGATCGAGGTTCAAAGCCAGCCCAGGCAGGAAAGACCTTGAGACTCCTATCTCCAATAAACCACTAGAAAACTGGAAGTGGCACTGTGGCTCAAGTGGTAGAGCGTTAGCCTTGAGCTAAAAAGAAGCTCAGGGACAGTGCTCAGGCCAAGTTCAAGTCCCAGGCCTGACCAAAAAAAAAAAGTCTTCTATTCTTAGCTTATCATTCAGATCCCTCTGTCTCAACTTTATCTGCAGATGACCCCTTAACACTTGTCTCTTCCCGTTTTAAAACACAGGTGTCATGTCCACCATGCTCTGCATTGAGAGGGTACTCACTGCCTAGACTATCTTTCCCCCATGTCTTCCCTCAGTCCAAGTTTTGCTCTGGAGAATAACAGCAGGATGGCTGTATGGTAAGTGTCACTGCTATGCTAAGGGTCTTCTACATGGCTAGATTCAAATGTACCAGCAGAACAGTTCAGTGAGGCGGGAGATTAATATTCTCATTAGAGGTGTAAAAGCCCACAAGGACTTGCCCTGTCCTGTGGCAGTATGCTGACATAAACAACTACCAGCATTATCACTGAACCCATGCCACTCCTTCAGACTCCTACACTATCCTATACAGCTTTATTCCTTTCTTTTTTGGCCAGTCCTGGGGCTTGAACTCAGGGCCTGGGCTCTATCTCTGAGACTCTCTGTGCTCAAAGCTACTGTTCTACCACTTCAGCCACAGTGCTAACTTCTGGCTTTTTCTGAGGAGT